CCACAGCCCTCTAGGGCTATGGTTATAGCCACAGGAAGAGCCATAGCTAAGAGTGAGGGCCACAGCACCCTATTTAGGGGGTCATCATCCCGCCCATGTGGCTAAATCACAGCGCTCGATCGCAATTGCAAAGCAGGTGTCTGGGCTGGGGCAGAATACCAAGAGCTAGTCTTGAAGCTGGAAGTGTACGGAGTGGGACCAAGGACGGGGGCCCTGGGGCCCAGCTCCAGGAATATTCAGTTTCCACAACATGGACATTTCACTCCACTTCCCAACTGTGTTGAATACACACACACAGAAACATACACGTATTCTTCAGGGACTGTTTCCAGGGGTAAATACCCATTTAAGGACACAGAACTATCAGGTACTTGGGGCTCTAGGACATGGGGTGGGGGAAGAAAGGAAGAGCAGCCAAGTGACCCGGACTCGGGCAGGCAGCAGCGGAGGGGCCAGGGAGGAGAGGCTTGCGATTTAGGTGCGTAACCTGGGAAGGCCCGGCTGCAGGACTGAAGCCCGCTGCCCGTCTTCTGCCGTTAGCAGGAAGGACTCGGATGAGATGTGCAGAATCTCAGGGCTGCAAGGGACCCTACTGATATTTTATAAGTGAGGAGGAGAATTTCAGTGATTTCCTCAGAGGCCTGAATCCTTAGGCTCTGCATTTGTCTAAACCCACCGGCGCCATAGTCCCCACCACTCAGTGAGGCTAGCAGTGTGTGGGCATGGGGGGCAGTCTGGTGACAGAGGGGCCAGCGGGTGAGGGGGGTCTCTATCCCCTCTTAGCCCAGGTGACTAGCTCCTCTACCCACCAAGCATCCCTGAGTTGGCTGTTGTTTCACTTCTCCCCACAAGGCCCAGCAGTCCTATTTCCAGACTCCTGTCTCCTAACTGAGCCTGAAGAAGCTGTCCCCAGGTCTGGGCCTCTTGCGGGCACTGCCAACCTCAGAGCAGCTCCGCAGTTTCCAGCCCGGACAGGGACTCTTTCTTATAAGTGGTCATGTGCTAAGGGTATGGGACGTCAAGGGAGGCCCACACCCTGACATGCAGGGACCAGAGCCGGGGGCAGGGACTGGGGGTGTTCAGGCAGCGAGCTCTTCCACCTCCATCTTCTCGGGAGGGTCTGAAACCATCCTTTCCCTTCCCCCAGCCTCAGTTCAAGGCACTGGACCACGCCATTCGATTTCTTTACTTCTCCAACTAAAACAAAACACACATTGCCCCACTTCCTTTTTCCTCTCACCAGAGCACTGCACGTGCACACTCACGCACACGCACACACGCACACACACACACACACACACCGTGAGTCACGCACACGCATGCTCACACACTCCGGTGGATGCACACCTCGCATTCCCAAACTCACACCCAGGACTGGCTCCTTTTACAGCAGGTCCCAGCTGCTCACATCCCAAACCGGTTCTCACGCTCTCAGATTCCTGGAGGTTTCAGAAAACAATCTCATTTGAGGGTTGCTGATGACTTTCTTCTTTCACTGCCTGCAGTAACTCTGGCCTCAGTCTTCTAGTCCTCTCTCTCTTATTCCACTCTGCAGACTCAAGGAGATGGGAAGTAAGGGGTGGAAAACAGGGAAAAGCTTCTGTGCTTGCTCCCCCTGCCCCAGGCACAACCCTCCCAACGTGTCATGGAGTCACAGAGAGAAGAGAGGTCAAAGGGATTCCCGAGGAATTTCTAGGCAGTCCACCCCCTTCTCCACCCTTCTGGAAAAATGGGGGGTGGGCTTAGAGGGAAGTGACTGAAGATCAGGCTCCAAGAGTGGGGACTCTGCCTCGCTCCAGTGTGGCCTGGATGGGGCACAGGCAGTAGCCAGCTGCCCATGGGGACACCCTCACCCGCTGACACGGTGGTTTTCATTTCATATTTTGGAGGGAGGGGCTAGGAGGAACAGTCCCCTCACTGTAAGCGTTGGCCACAGGAGCCGAGGGAAGCGGGAGGAGAGGAAACAGCCACATTAAAGAGGAAGAGAGGGGTGGGGGAAAAAGAGAGAGAGACACATACACCCAGACAGAGACCTGGAGAGACACCGAGACAGAGAGACACTGTTTGCTGCCACATGAATGCTCTCAGCCCCTGGGATGGTGTTACTTGGAAAGTCTAAATATACGACTTTATCAAAACTCTATCCCTAATGAGGAGAGAAAACTACCAGGTAAGCTGAACGGCCAGGCTGCTGGCTGTCTGGGAGCCAGCCCTGGGGACAAGTCTCCCTGGAGGCCAGGAGACCTTTTCATTCAGCTGTAACCTGAGCCCTATGCGAGGATTAGGTCTTTTTAACCACTGCTGCCTCCCCAACCCCAACCTCCCTCCCCAAAAAAGCAAAGCAAATTAATGCTTCTAAGTTAACAATTATCTTGGTTATCCAGTCTGTCTACTTTAAAATACACAGACGGGCACTTGAAAAACACTCAAAACCATGTACCCTCACGCGCCCTCCCTCCCAGTCACACAGACGTACCCACCCACTCACCCACACACAGCCTCGCAGACGCGGAAACACCAGCATTCCCGCTTAGCTACTCAGTCGCAGTAGACACAGACACCAGCTGTGTCGCCTGTGGGTGATCGTGGTGAACCTCTCTCTCTCTCTCTCTCTCACTCACACACACACACACACACCCCCACACACTCACCTTTATATTTAGGGCTCATTCCTCCTCCACCCGCCATGGGAATCTCTGGTGAAAAAGGACAGAGACCCAGATTTCCCCACAGGTATAGTAACTCCTTGCAAGATACTTGACAAAAGTATTTGTGTTTTAAAGACCTGCTAATGCTTCATTTGAAGGCATGTGGCATTAAAGTTGCACTTTCTAGCACTGGTGATCATCAGGAGACATGTTTGGCGGCCAGGGAGGCCTTCCCATGCCCACAGCACTCTGCCCACGGGTCAGGCTGTAAGGCTGCCCTGCCTGGTCGCTGCTTGTCCTTCCTGCAGCATCTCCCTGCAGGTTTGAGTCCGGAGGCAGCCCTTTAACCCAGCGAACCTGTCGTTGGGCAACCTCCAGCCAGGCTTTCTAGATTTCCTGAATAGCAGGGTCAATGAGAGGCTTCCACTCTATGCCAGGCTAGACTCAGGGATCAGAAGGAAGGAAGGAAGATGCAGAGCTAACGGCAGCCCAGGCAGAGCAAGTGTGGCCTGTGAATTAGACAAAACTACTCGTCTGTACGTTCCTTGAGGGCAGGGGCCTCCACTCTGGCAGCATGTCTCCCAGCACCCAGCAGGCGTCTAATAAAAGAGGGAGCCCTGGAGTACCTTGGAGGGATTCTGACTCCTGTCCCTGAACCATGGGCTGATGGCACCTGTCCCTTAGAGGAGTCTCCATCTGCCCCTGAAGCCCCCTGGAATGCACTGGTTTTTCTTCCGCCCCCAGCCTCCCAGCCTTACTAGGCCACTGCCGACACTGGCTCCAACTTGAAAGAGGCCCTTATCTTGTCTCTAGATTACTTCATGAAATCTGTTCCTTCCTTCAGACTAAACTCCCTAGCTAATTCCATGTTATGAGTAAGTCAGCAAGCACTACAAAAGCCAGCTTTGTTTATGAAAACACAAGCAAATCCACAGTGAGGAGAGGGGCTGCTAGCAGGCTGGGGGTGGCGGTGGTGGTGGGCTGTCTGGAACCAGGAGACGGGAGAAGAGGCAGTTTGGGGTGGGGAGGGTTTGGGGGTGGGGTCTGGTATTTGACAGCTGAGGGTCTCTAGTGTTTCGGTTCTGCTAAAGGACAGGCTGGAGGGGAAGAGGTTAGCTGTAGGGGCAGTGTTTGGGAGGGGAGGGAAGCATTGACATAGCACCTTCCTTTTAACAGAACGGCAGCCCATCTCGTACACAGAGCAGCTTAAGAGCCAAGCGCTCAGGCTCCGGGACACAGTGACCTGACTGCCACACACTTAGGCTTCCCCAACTCCCAAGTTCAACTTTCCTTCTGGCCCAGCCACCTTCTCACCCCAGCTGGCTTCAGGAGCCTCTGGGATAAGAGGCAAGATCATATTCTCCCGGACAAAACCTTGCCAGGAGGAGTTTTCTTTTTGTTCGTATAAATCTCTCGTCAGTGAGGACACGATGGGGGAGGGGTACAGCAAGAGGTCAAGGGGGAGGGGAGGCTAGCCCAAGAGACGGTGGCGCACCAGCCCGGTTTCTGCCCGCACAGCCTTGGGACCGGCCAGGCGATGAGCTGGGGGTCAGGGACCGGGGCGGGAGGCCTCCTTGTCTCTAATTCCTAGAGAGATCTGTCAGACTCCCCAGCCTGGAATTCTACTTTGTTATTTTAATGCAATTCTGACCTGGATTTAAATGGAATTGGAAACCCGAGGCCTTAATAAATAAATATTATGATAAGAAATGAAAGCCGTGCAAGACGAAAGAGATTTTCCCCCAAAGAGGCAGAAACGCAACATTTTTGCCAGGAGCCAGTCACAAAAATTTTCTTCTCTCCTTCAGCCCCCTACCATCCGTGAGGGATGAGTTGGTTTTCCCACAGAAGATCCTATTTTTCTTTAGCAGTTTTCCACTGATAAGACAGCAACTTGGAAATTTCTGTCTGACTTTGCATGCGGGTTGGGGATGAGAGGGAGAAATTTATGGCATGGCTGAAAAGTTTTCATTCCCTCAGTCTCTCCAGGCCACAAGTGAAGTTTCTGGCACTGTCTGAGAGAAGAGAAGATTCTCTCCCAGGTTTTGGAGGACACAAGTCTTCCGAAGATGCTGGCAGCGGGGTGGGATGGACGAAGTCGCGCAGAATTCTGAGGTGCGTGGTCACTCCTGCCCACCGCCCCCAGGACTTCTCACCCATCCCCGCCGCCCCGGCTGCTCCAGCTTTTCTCTCGGGGCGCAGCGCCCAGCGGTCGGGCCCCCAGGCGCGGAGTCCGGGCGCTCGGGGCCGGTCCTGACAGCAGCACGCTTCCCTGCCCCTCGGAAATCGCGCCCGGGCCCTCGGGCCCCGCCGCCTGGGCAGCCCCGCGGCCGCGCGCCCCGCCGTCCTTACCTTGCGCGGCTTTGCTGTGCTGGGCGGCGCGGGCGTGGACCAGCAGGACGAGCAGGCAGAGCCCGGGCACGCGTCCCGAGCCCATGGCCGGAGCTCCGGGCGGCCGGGCAGCCAGGGCCGGTCTCGCAGCCTGGGGAGGGCGGAAGCCGGCCGGGTCCCCGCGCGCGGGAGGGGGAGGGGAGGGGCGCCCCGCCGGGGCCGGGCGGGGGGCTGCAGGCTCGGGGCACAGAGCGTGGCGCCCGGGGCGGGAGGCGCCCGACGCTGCCGGCTCCTGCCGGCCGGACGTCGGGGAAAGCGCGGCGGAGAGCGAGGCGAGGCGAGGGGCGCCCGGCGCGACTGACGGAGGGGAGCCCCCGCCCTCTCCGAGTCGGGCTCCGCCAGCGGCGGCGGCGGGGCTGCTCCGTGTAATCCCACCCAATTCCCAGCGTCGCCCGGAGAGCTGCAGCCGGAGAGCGCGCCGAGCGCGAGCGAGAGACCTGAGAAAGGGGAGGGGCAAGGCAGCGCCAGAAACACGCCCTTTCTGCCTCTTTCTTCCTCTCTCGCTCTTTCTCCGTCTCTCGGGCTCCGTCTCTTTTTCTTCGCCTTTCTCCTCCTCCTCCTCTTTCTCCTCCTCTCCTCGCTCCTGTTCGTTTCTTCCTCCTCCCCCTCCTCCTCCTCCACCACCTCCTTTTCCGTGCCCTTTTTTCTTTCAAATGGGGCCCCGGCGCGGCGGCCGCTCCCCCTGCGCGCCCGGGCGCGGCGGCCCCCTCCCCAGGCTGCCGGGCCGCTGCCTGCAGGAATTTACAATCCGGCGCTGGGGGAGCGGGCCCGGTCTCCATGGAGACGGCTTCCCCGGGAGCAGGGAGGTCAGGCGCAGACCGCGCACAATCAATGGATCAATGCAAGCCCCGCTCGGCTCCAGACCAAACAGCACCGGGCTCCGGCTCGTCCTCTGTCCCCGCGGGAAGAGTGGGGGAGCGAGGGTGCGCCCCGCGCTCGCACGCGACGAAGGCGGTGTGGCGCAGGTTTGCACGCACACCTCCACCCGGAGACAAAGAGGGCGCGAGGTGTCGGGAAGCTGGGGCGGACATGGACACGCAGGACTTGGGCGCGTCCACTGACACAGCCCGACACGCGGAACGTAGGACCTTGGAACACAGAGTGGCTCCGGTGGCTGGCCGGGTGACGCCCTCCCAACTCTTAGCCCTCCCCCCCACCACGTCCCCAGCCTCAGGACTCAAGGTCTGAGGCCACTTTAACTGAGGACTAAGAAGAAAGTAGCCTTCCCCCTGCTAAAGCTGCCAGGTCCAGGGGAAACCCCTTTGCAGTGAAGGGCCTTGGAGGTAAGCCGGCTGAACCCCCCCACCCGACCCATGTAGACGTGGACGCGTACACACACTCTCATGCGTTCAGCACAGGAGCAAAAGCTAACCCACAGAAACATGCCTATGTGTGCAAACACTAAGACAACATGCTTCTCCAAACCTCCAACACTCAGCTTCATGCGCTGGTCCTGGCTGTCCATTCTCAACCCTCATCGCTCCAACTGCAGGGGCAGCAGAGGAAAGATAACGGATATTTTTAAAACAGGGGCATCCTGTGCAGAAGGAGCAGTGTCCCTCAATCATGGACGCTGCCTCCTGACCATTCCCCCAGTCCGCATCTCCTCTCCACAGCAAGGGAAAGGGGAAAGACCTCTCGGAAGGTGACCAGGGCTTTCTTGGAGTGTGGGGCTGTGATCAGAATCAGCCCACACGAGGCCCCAGGTGCTACTCATGCTTCACAGCCAATTTTCTGCAGGGAAGAGACCATCGGAACCCAGGCCAGCCTCACAGAGCCCGCAGGGTTCTCAGGGGGACGGGGCAATGACCAAAATCTCCTCGGAGACAACTTGGTTCTCAGACCCTTGACAGTGGCCCCCTGCATCGGCTGGGGTGAGAGGTGTGCTTGGTCGGCAGCCTCCCTGCCCCCCAGGGAGAAGAGCTGAGCCCTTCCTTCCCTGGGGATGGAGTGGAAAAGCAAGAGGCTGGAAACATACTTGGGCATTCGGGTTTCTTGTTGTGGCTCTGTCTTAGGACGAAGATTTCCTTTGGGCAAGTCATATCGCAATCGGTCCAGTTTCCTCATCTAGAACACCAGAGCGTGGATTGGCTCTGAGGTGGAAAGGGGGCAGTGCCCTTAGGAAGGCTGGGGGAGAAGGCCTTGAGAACCTTTGCACGGCAGGAGGGGTGACCGCTGGATGGGAGCATGTAGATCATGGCAATGGTACGGAGGCTGCAGAAAGGTTGGGTCAGATGATCTCCTAGGTCCCTTCCAGCCCTGTCACTCTAAGACTCCCCCCTCTTTCATTCCACCGGCAAACCCCTCCCCTTGTAGCAGCTTTGCCTGCTGCTACCAATTATGTGTGGGGCTGGAGGACAAGTGCAAACTTGCCATCCTCTTTGCCCCAAACAAGAGAGTGGTTAAGAGGAAGAAAGGAAGAAAGGGAATTGGATGTTGCCAGACGGTGCCTGTGATCTACGTGGGGGCACAGGGAGAGAGCCGAGGAGCTCCCCATGGCTGGGAGGGGGGATGATGCTCTGCCTTGGTTTGCTCTGCCTCTGGCTTCCTTGGACACTAGCACCTCTGGGTCCCTGGGGGGATGAGGGGAGGGGCTCCAGCCCACACCCTACCCGTCAGCTGAGGTGGGCATGGAAGGTTCTATAGGAGCAAACTATGGGTTATCTGGGACCTTCTCTCCAGTTCAGTGTGATTTCCTAGTCCCCTGAATGTGGCCATTGCCCTGGCTTTCAGGGAGGGAGGCTCAGGTGGGTTGCCCCACCTAAGCTACTATGTCTCTGGAAGACTAGGGGTCTTTTACCCTAGTTTCCTTTTATTTCATCCTACCAGTTTTCCTCTGGTCATTTCCTTTTTTTCTCTAGGATGAGGTGAGCTCCTCCTCCATATCTGGGCAGAAGAGGCAGTTACCTGCTCTGCTCCCCTCCCCCATCTGGTTCCAGCCCACCCCCAGCCCTTCAGAGGATTCTATAGGAGTAGAAGCAGGGCTCCTATCATTGGGGCGCTGTGAATTGGGGGGCTGGTCACATTGCCCTCTGCCCCATCCACTTCTGCAGGGACTTAGTTGGCCAGTAATTCAGGTGGATGACAAGGAAGGAATGGCGAACAGTAGCATCTGCCATATCATAACCAGTGGGGCAAAGCGTCCAGTGTCTCTGGACCTCCTACATTCACCTCTCAGGCTGCAGTTTGCTTCACTTTCCTTCGGGGGTGCTTCTGACATTCATTTCACTCTAATTCCTCCTGTCTGGGGAGAAGACTGGAGGGGTGGGCCCGTAGCTGATAGATCTCAGTTCACGTCCTGCTTAGGGATACCTCTGCCGGGACTTCCCCTCTCCTGCCAAATCTCCTTCTATAAGCTTTGCTTTTTCTCTCTGCTCCTCAGCTTCCCAATATGTAAAACAAGTCCAATGACCCTACTTTGACAGATAGGCATAGACTACTGGAGAGCACGTACCAGCTGGAGCAAGACTGCCCCAAGGTCAATGTTGGGCCCTACCATTTCCCAGCCACCTATCTACTCTTGGTGAATTATTTCACTTTTATGAGCCTCAGCTTCCTCATCTGGAAAATGGGTATGGTCATACGACTCAAAGGTGAGGTATACATCAGTGTCTAACTCTATGGGCTCTATCTAGTTAAACAAACCTGTGGGTCAAATCTCAGCTCTGGTACTTTCTACCTGTTTGACTTCAGACAAATTACTCAACCTCAGTGAACTTCGGTTTCCTCATCTGACAAAGTGGATGAAAATCTCACAGGTTATGGTGTTAATTAAATAAGATAATGTCTAGAAACACCTAGCGCGTAGTAGACATTCAGTGGGGGAGGCTGTTGCAGTTATTTGCATTGCTTCACAGAAGGAACAAAGACCACAGTTTGACAGTAAAGGCAGAGTAGTGCTTGCAAAGAAGCAGCTTTGCCCCAGATCAGGTTTTGACGCTGCCAGGTGTATGTGTAGCCAATGGGGGTCAATCTCACTAACGCTAACGGGTTCCTGTCTGTCACACATTCCTGCTGAGAAGGTTTAAAAATTCCATGCATTCCAGCACACTGCCCTTGTCAGCAGCACTCCCATTTGTACCGTCTTGCACCTTCTACTGTGCCTTAAGAAGATATAGACACTCTGAAGCACAAATTAGAGCTCATAGCTACCATGTGCCAGACACTATACTGGGCACTTCACCACAAGCCTATGAGGCAAGACTTGTTATCCCCGTTTTATTGATGGGAAAACTGAGGCTCGGGTAGATTAACTTGCCCAGGATGACAGACTAAGAAGGGACAAAGCCAGCACTCGGGCCCAGGCCTGACTCTGAAGCTTGTATACCTCCTCTGCTGTCTATACTGCCGCCTCTGAATCCACAGAATCGCAACACACTCTTACCACTCTTGAAGCCTAATCATTTGGAGCAGGGCAAAGGTCGCTGACCAGCTCCTTCACATCCAGAGCAGTACCCTTGCTCTGGAGGATCATGCAGCAGTAGAACTGCAGAAGACTGTAGCTATCACCTTTGTGTGGTGAAGAGAGGTCACATGACTTGCCCAAGGGCACACAGCACATTTAAGAGGCAAAGCTAGAAGCAAAATCCATGTCTCCCCCAACTTCTGACTTCCAGATCAGTACTCCTTAGCCCATATCCCAGAGCTGCCAGGACCCCCTTCCGGTTCTTGCTCTTTCTCTTCCTGATGATTTGACCAGTCATCAATCCCTCCATCAGGTGACATGTGGTACTTACACCTTCTGCGCCACTGTCCTATGCCCTCTAGGAGATGCGAAAGAAATAGGAAATGTGGCCCCGCTGGTGGGGGTACAACGCCAATGTGTGGTTCTGGACCCCTCCACATCACAGGGCAAACCCTTCAGATGCCATACGTCTGAGCAGGTAGGCAAGGTTGACATATGCAAAACAGAACATCTGAATGCAGAATGTGCCATCGAAGGCCCAGAGAGAAGGTGCCAGAGAAAGTCAGAGGAAACAGAAGCCAGTCATCCAAGAAAGCTTCGTGGACGAGGGGTGATTTGGGCTGAATCTCGATGACTCCTAGAGAGAAATATAAAGACAGAAACATAAACAAAAATCAGTGATTGACAGAGGGAGAGAAAGGGAGAATACTCAGAACAACAGCAGAAGAAATAAAGGAGGGAGGGAAGGGATCTTGCTGGGACCTGGGACAGGTTGACCCTGGTCAGTCCTTGTTTCACACTGTTCATGATGGCTCAGGAGTCACTTTGCCTTACAGGCAGAGGATGGGAAGTAACCCTCTCCCAAAGGCCGTTTCAGCCCTGGGATTCTAGGATTACCTCGCTCCAAGGCCTTTTAGTCTTGCCTTTACAGACAGGCGGCCCTCTGGGACTTGGGGAGAGGTAACCCAGTCCGAGCTGCCCACACCTGTTCCAACCTCCCCTGGCCACTTTGACCACCGCTTGATTAGCTCCGTGGGCCCCTTGCCCCCGTGTCAGCCCACCCCCTCCTCCCTCCCACCCCTACTCCTGAGTCACCTTGCCACCTGCTTCCTTTTCACCGGCTCCCTGGCTGCTTCCATGAAGGAAACAAAAATCTCCATGCTGCCAGTTGGCATCGACACTGACGTGTGGCTCCAGACCCCCACACATCACCAGGCAAGTCTCCAAACTGCCCCAAGCCCATGCCCTGGCCCTTCCACAGAGCTGCCCTTCCAGACTTCGCTTCCTCCAGATGACCCCAGCCCTTGAG